CTATTGTTGTGATGTCAGTTATTATGAGCATAACATTACGCATTAACTTCATGATAGTTTATACGACTACTTTGTTGATTTCAAGAGATTGATTAGTTGTACAGTAATGGATTTATATGTAATTCAGAATTTTTTTAAAACTTCTACAAATTGATTCTAATTGTCAAGATCTCTGATGAGTTAAAGTTTGATATCAGCCAAAGAACAATTAAAAAAATATATAATTTCCTATTATATAGTAACCAAATCGTTATAGACACGTTTGACCAGAAGACTGTAACTTCTCACTAATCAAATAATTGTCATCATATCTTGCGAACAGATAGGAATTAGAATATTTATTCATGTTGAGTACAATGAAACCGAAAGTCTTCTTCAACGTTGAGTGAAGTAGAGGTTATACTTTACTGAAAATTTATATAACGCGACAGAAGTACACCCTATAACTTGCTTCCATTAAATTTTAATCCGTCATATAAAGTATGTTTCTGCAAATCTGCGTTCTTGTCTTATGATCTAGAGAGCCCAAAATTTAACGTGAATAAAATTGACCATACTACTCACTAATTCAACTGTGAAATCGTGAAATGATTATCTTAATAATATTAACTCATTGAATTTTCTAATGCATATTTAAAGTAAACCATAAGATAACAATACACTTACATAGAAGTGTTGAAGAGTTTCAGAATCGATTATTCAAAAATTTATTTTCGAAAGCGTTTTTTTTCACAATGTGAATTTGATTCTTGCAGATCCGCTCTTTAAAATTTTATTTTGCATGAATTAATTCCTCGACATCCGCTTAATTCATGATGAATAAAATATAAAAATGAAAATTAAGTCGGTGTCTTTCTGAACTAAGGGGTTAAGTGGATAACGATAGGCTATTGGTTTAAGTCTCAGAATTGAAATCGACATTGAGATACAGTTCATTTAGTTAATGAATCCCAAGCAGGATGAAACGCATCCTTCATTTTGCTGGTAGTCACCACCTAACATCTAAAAAACATTTACCGCCCTTTTATTATATTTTTTATCTACTCACGAGTAGTCAAAAATCAGTCATAGATTTTACGAAGATTTGAAGGCAAAATGTTAATGAAATAAAATCATTAACAGAATGGAGGTTTGTGGAGACTGTAGTAAGTTTTTTAGTTGAATTCATGAACAGATCTAAGCTAGAGCATCTTTTAAAACCTGGAATCACTAGATGGTCGTTTTGTTCTTGTACAGAACTCCTCACCTACGTTCACTAGTGACTGGCTTCTGGATGGATCTGATGGAGTTTTGATGAGAAACTTTGACCAGCGGAGTCAAATCCGTGTTGAGTAGAGATAGTTATCTCCCTCAGACAATGTAAGAATGGTTACTCAAGATCATGGATTGGTTGAAGTTATACATTAATACCGTTGGATGCCAGCTCAGTGGTCATGATATGTAATTTGAAGATAACAAAGGTTGGGCATGGTTGACAGCAAAACCTGATGATTGATACTTGTTAGCAAAATATATCTGTGTCCTAGAAAGAATTCATAAATCTTGTGAGATTTTAATTTACTTTATATAACTTTACAGTTTCAAACATCACCACTAAGCTACTCAGGCCATGACTGATCTTTGAGACTGAGATGTTTACAATTGTTGATAATTGTTGTTTAGTCATTTAATTAATAATCGAAATACTAGTATTGCGGCCACACGTTTAAGTGGTATGAATTTGCATGCGCTTTGTTTTGTATGAAGAATATACACAGTTGAACTGGATGAGAAACAGCAATATTAATTAAAGGTAAAATGAACATAGTTTTAAGATCATGTATCTTGTATGTATAACTCTACTGTCTAAAGACGAACATATAATCAAAGTAGTGTACATGCGACTACAAGTTGGTGCAATAGTATAATTAAGCTCATTTGATTCTAATGGTTTACTGAAATGATTCGAGTATTTACACCAATCAACTTTAGATAAAAACGTTCACCTAGTTCAATGTAGCACGTTTCAAAATTGGCTTAAATAATCATTAATTCATGAATTGGTTTTATTGATAATAATTAAGAGACATATTATCAGCCCTGGATAGACTAACATGTATATCCTGGTTAAAAACATTATTCAGTTTCATGAATATGGAAATAAATGTGAACGGTTAAGTTTGGTTCAAAGCGTAATCACTTTATTTGTCATGGATCTGAAAAGTGTTTTCAGGCATTAATGATTAATAGCACTAAACTCATGATGTTAAATTTATTGTAGACATTAGTATCATCGGTTGATAAGCTTCGAAAATTACATTTAGTTTTAACTAACTATCAACAATAACTTCTAAGTGTATCTGTTTCAAACATTTTAGTGAAATTCATCTTAACTAGGCGATTATTTCCATTTTAAGCTGACATCATTTATAAACCAGATAAAAGTAGAAAAAAGGTTTCTTTCTAGAATGGTGGAACTCTTTAAAATCATAATGCTATCACTTTGACAGTAATTTACAATAACAGTGTGAGATTGCTGTAATTCGAATATTCAAAATTTAAATGTTCACATATCTGACTGCAATTAACTTATAAAACATAGTTTGATTATTACGGTTATATAATTATCCATACTGTCTTTCAAAAGTTCTCGTCGCTGATATTAAATTATTAGGAAGAATGATTTTGAGTTTTATGAATGTTAGTGCAAAATGTGATGGTAGATAAAAGCTCCAGAATCTCCATGGTCATTTATTAAGAGAGTATAGTTAAATTATTGAATCACAAGATTTTACCGCAACTATGTGTATCTGTGAATTCAGCTACTCCTATAAAGAAAGCCATATCGTATATGCAGCCAGACAGCTTAGCCAATAATTTATTGAATAACTCTTAAGCACTTATATCCATAAGTAATTCGTAGCATTCTTATCTCTTCCTTTTCTAAATAAAGCCTAGCTAAAGATTTTACTTATTATTATTATTATTTTTATTCTGGATGTCTTTTGTTCGCTTATTTTCCTTCACCCTTTCTCTAAAATATTCTCCACTATCTAGTAATTTCAACACTCCTTATTATGTAGTTTTAGTAATCTATAGTGAATATTATTAGTTTTTTGAACTACTTCCTAATTTGAAACGCTGATCCAAGGCTTTATTATTAGTATTAGTATCACAACAATTCCCCTGTTGTCATCGTAACAATTTTTTTAAAATTTTTACTTATTAAGTTTATTGATATAATGTATTTTATTGTTACCATTGTATCTGGAAATGTCATCACGATAAGAATTTAGTTAAAACAATAATGTTCATTCACTTGGTAATGTTTGTTTGAATGTTCTCAGTGATGTTCAAGACTGCAAGTAATCAGTCTCTTATTGAGACATGTACATACTGTACGTATTGCCTTGATATAGCCTTAATTCACAAGTATTAGATGCAAAGGTGGATAGTGGATAGCAGTGGAATCCAAGACCCATGTTTCGTTCTATATAGGGACTTATTAGCTGAATGTACCTTCGTCTCAGAGTTGATGTTCTCCGGGGACTTGAATCCATTACCGTTCTCTTTAAACGTTATTTCTTTATCCATTTAACTACTGAGTCCTGATAGCCACTTGCTTTTACAATGGGGTGAAGTTTAATTTCACTTAGTACTGTTTGTTTAAATCTTCCTATTGTTGTTTAGGACTGGAATTGATCAATTTTTTTATTGGAATATATGCATACTCTGCGTTTTGCCTCGATATTGACTTAATTCACAAGCTAAGTGGATAACGCGATGGCGTTCAAAACGAACAGTACTGAGTTTGAGTCTCAGAGTGAATATCAATTCTGAAATACAGGTGAATCCAACTGACGAGTAACAAATAGAATGAAACGCGAGTCCTGAATTCAAATGTTTGTGTCGAACAAATATTGAAACAGTAACGAAGACAGAATGTTTCACTTACTGTTCATTTAACCAATAATGTTTATACGATTTATTTTAATGCTTCATGTATATATATATAATAAAAGTATTTTTCAAAACTTTGTTTAAATGGTGTATTAAATTTACAAACATTAAGTAATTAATTTTAGTAATAAAATCGATTTCAATTAAACCAAAATCTTCTTTTACATCTGAAAATAAATAAAAAATTTGCAAAAAAAATTTATTGAGTAAATAATTAGTAAGTGTTTTTTTATGATTGAGATCATGAACTTATGGATGTTAGACCATCATTGAAAACCTAGAAGCCCTAGACGGCCGTTTCGTCCTACTGTAGGACTCCGCAGCAGTGCGCATCCATGATTCCACTCGCGGGATTCAATTGATTTATTGATAAGAGAGGAAGTTGTATGCTTTGTTTTCTATTGAAATGACCAAACATTAGTTAGATTAAGGATAAGCATTTTATTCAGATTCAAATACTTAATAGTTTACGGAGAAGGGGTTTGTTTATTATTTTAGATCAGATAGAAACAGCTTAAGAATGATAATATTCATTGCAGTCATTGGGCCAAATGGAATCTAATAATAAGTATTTGAAGATTGTTATGTGAATTGTTGAAATTCGAAACTATCATTTCAGTTTTAATGAACTGAGATTAAACAATCAAAATTCTATGTCACATAGTTACTTGCACAATTTAAAAGCAGTCACATATAATGTAAGACTAACAGATGAAACCGTGTAAGTATATTCTAATTCTACCAAATTGAACCTATGAATAAGAAGTTGGAATTACTGGAAATCTAATTATCAAGATTAAATGAAATATAGTATGACAACCCAAATATTTAGCAGGCATATATTATTCTATATGACTTCTAGCCATACTCTAAGCACGAAATATAGGATTTAAGCTTATTATTTATATTCTTGCTTCATAAAGTTCCATATTTGATGTATTCAATAAACGTCTAGTTTTGATTTGGTTGTTTTTCTATCGTTTATCATTTATCATAGAAATATTACGAGAATGTTCGATACTAAAAATGTATCGCTTACATTTAAGTTGACCGTATCTATTTTCATAAACACATGTGCATTGTCTGAAAACAACATGAAAATTTAAGAAAACAAAGCATAAATATACATTTGAGATTCATTGCAATTAGTTAACGTCGACGTCAACGATCACAAATCGACTGACATATATAATGAAATCAGTAGGTGTTATGTAATCAGTTTGATATAAAGTTGTAAAAAAAATACTAAGTTGAAGTAAAGGAATGAAAGTCTGCAAAATGCAAAGTTATTCACCCAATTGAGTATTTGTTTCGTTTTGCATGAATTTGTTTCAGTAAACTATCGTAGTGAACGGGGACGTAAACGGGACAAGCAAATGTATTTGAACAAAAAGTTGCAGAGTTATTTGTTTATAAACTCAATAATTCATTTGCAAAATGTTCATCATTTGTTTCAGACTTTGTTGTCCCTTCGTTTCCATACCAACCACTCTCTGTTTCCGTACTGTTCTGTTCAATCTTTTCAACCTTCTACTATCAAGCATTCCAATTTCGATTGATGTTACATACTACTTATATCTGTCAACATAAGTAGCACACAACACACTGTCTGTACTGAATAGATTACTTGGTTCGGTTATCGCTTATGAGTAATAAATGTCTATTGTAGTTACATTTCAATATGTTAAATTGTGAAGATCTAAAATTATCGTTTCATCGTATCAGACAATAAATAATCGGAATTTCTGGAAATCATTCTTTCTTCCTTAACATATACCTATTTATCCTACAGTTCCTTCGCAAAATACGTTCATAGAAATTTCAAACTAACCAGAGTGATTCTTATTATAGTAACATGTAATCTATAGATATTAGAATTTAGTACAATCAGTATTTATATTTACTGACATTCTTTCATTAAATAAAACAAAAATATTTAATGGTAAAATATCATATTACTTTATTCACTATTAGTAATGATAGTGTTATAGCTGATCAGCGGCAATTATCACAGTCCTACAGGGTTTAGTGACCTAATATCATGTTTATATGTTGGCAGTAGGTACTTATTCAAGCGGAACAGTACGAATATAATTAAATATATATATGTATATACAATTAGCAGTAAAATCATTTATGATACCTCAGTGTTAGTTATATTTCATTCAGAAAAACTATCCATCTGTAGATATAAAAAACACTAATTACTCACAACGATTGAAATTCCTGTAAAAGTGTGTAAAGTAGTTTTTTATTCCTTTTAAATATGACTTTACTAAGATTTGTGTTCAAGTAAAAAAGTGTTCAATGTTTTCATATTATTTTTTTTAAAATAATAAATTACCTTACAAGCCGAATCTGGATCCGTGCTAGAGATTGTATCAATGTATTTGTCAATGAATATTCTTCCTAGAAATGAGCACTGAAATATAGGAAAAAAAATACAGATCGCGAATATTTTATTATGCTATTTAATCAATAATGAAGCTTTAGCTTCAGACAATAAATAAGTATAGACAAGCCTAAACTTCCTAAGCTACACTAATAGAAAGACAATTAGATATTTGTGTTCATTTAATACTTTTATTCCTAAATAATATAAAATGGTGAAGTATTAAAATACTAAACAGCTTCAACTTAATCATACATTGAATGTCAGTGAAATATTTGAAACTATGTAGATGTTTTTTGTTACTAAGTACTTTTTTTTTTTTTACAAGGTTTCATGTTTTCTTTCATCTTGAAGTGAGCAACAAACGGATATTTGGTGAAATTTTATATTTGAAACCAATTTACTCTTCATGACTGCTAATTTAAACTTTAAATGAAAGTGACCATAAAAGCCAATCAACAAAATGATCAGCTTAATTACGATAAGTAAAGTGATCAACTAGTCGAATTACAGATTTGATTTGAATTTGTTCTCAGTTAATAAAACGCAAAAAAAACTAAAATGTTTTCTTGTTTCATCTTTGGGTAATTAGAAATGTCAATTAATGGTATTTGAATATATTAGATGATAGTATGATGTGGACTATGTAAAAGGAGTCTTTGTCTTTTTAATTTTTCTCATACTGCTAACAATTCAAAGATATATTTAACAGTATAGGGTTGTGGAGTTTGTTGAGTTTCAGTTGATATCATGAATCAATGAATGAATGTTAGACCACCAGGTTTTCAATGATGGTCTAACATTAATCCATTCATGATATACTAAACAGTTGGAATGATGGTCTTCTAATTACGAATCACCACACATTTTTCTGATTTTCACTTTATTTTATCTTCAAACTGAGTGTACTTACTAATTTTTGGTAAATATTTGTAAACTATTGCAAATTAAATCACTAAGTGGTTCTTAAAATACAACCACTGTGGTTAATATACTCTCTTTCCTAATTATTTCCATGAAAAAATATTGATGTTTTTTTTCGTTCATACATCAAATACTTTCTGTAATGAAAAGAGATGTCATGAGAATAAAGCAAATCATGAACATTTGTTAATGAATTTGAATGATGACTGGTTATAGTTTGAGACTTTTGAACATATTTCCTATGCCTTTACAAGTCAGAAGATTATACAGTGGGGATGTTTTTTTTACATTTTTTTAGTATATAATGTTCTTAGAACTATTTCATGCAATCGAACTTATGTTATTAAAGAAGGCAAGTATTATCTTTTTTTTCAAAAAAGTCGCGCTGGGATTTCAAACAATAACAAGAGAGATATAAGCATATATTTTGAAAATTAAAGACAATTACTGAGTCAGGATCCAATGGTGTTCATTTATCACCTCAACCAATCCACGGGGTTAAGCGTTAATTTGTGAGACCAAAGATCCTAGTTTCGAATCACGTGACCAGGGCCGTGGATACGCACTGCTGAGGAGTCTCATAATAGAATGGAACGGTTGTCCAGTGCTTCCAGGTTTTTCATGGTGGTCTAACATCAATCGATTCACAATCTCAATCAAAAACCTCATAACCTACACAACCCCATACTGACAACAGACAACCTTAAATTGCATCGTATCCGAGTGTTAGCAGTTTCGTCAAATAACAATCAAATATCAAGCAATTTTTATTTCAATAAATGAATCAAAATAAGCACAAGAGGGTGTATATTAATGAATTAAATAAATCATGTAATTGGTTCAACGGGAATTTTCAACACGTATACCTTACAATCACACTAAATAAGTCAACCATGCACAACTGCTTAAAATAGATGTAACACATATATGAAATAGATTTCGAAGGCATGGTATTCAAAGTTAACCGAGTGAGTACTTGATTTATTCTGTTATTAACCTAATAATTATTTTACATCATAGTGTAACATATATTTTGTATAAAAATATCTGGAAGGAGCTGGAAAGGATTGCCCAGGACAAAGTTGGATGAAGAATGCTGGTGAGCGGCCTATGCTCCTTCACGAGGAGTAACAGGCGTAAGCAAGTTAGTTAGTAAGTAAAAATATCTCTGGCAATAAATGTAACAGTCAATAATAAGTATTATATATACATAGAGTGAAATTAAACAAATGCGAATCAATTCACCTGAACTTGAAAAGATCCAGTTAGTGAACAAATTTTATCAAGAGCTTGATGTACAAATGATTTTGCTTCTTCAGATTTACTGAAAGTTTTCAAATATGATACAGCCATTTCACATGTTGAACACACTGAAATAAATATCAATATATATATATTGTGATAATGGGTTACAAACATGATCATAATTTATTTGATGAACTAATTGCAGAGTTTAGATTGAGATATCGTTGTAAATTCGATTTCTGGAGGGGACCTGTTAAATGATCAATGTATACGAATTTTGCGAACTTTGCATGCAAAAACGATAATTTCAACCTTTCATCCTTCTTTGATCCTAATTCCCTATTGTAGTTTGTTTCTTTTTTTTCACTTTTCCGTTTTTTATTTTTATTACTACTACTGGTTTTTTTAAAGCAGTGTTTTGTAATTTTAAACAATAATCAGTTATTATTATAATCAGAGGGGAATTTTGGGATATTATAGTGATTTTAATAGTTGAATTCATAAGTCAATTGAAGCGCACTATTGAGGAGTCCTTTAATAGAACGAAATGGCCGTCCAGTGCTTCCAGATTTTCCATGGTTGTCTAGCTTCAGTCGACTCATGAATTCAGCTATTAAAGTTATTATTACCTTTGAACAAGTCTTCTTGATTATTATTCAGTTTTTATTATAATAAACTTTATATTTGTTGTTTTTCTTCATATCTGCCCAAAGCCGCTAATCAGGAGCAGCGAATTATCGATCGGACCAAGGGCGCGTAAAACACGTGTGAGCAGTCTAGAGTCCTGATTGGTCCTGCTTTCCGCCTAGCCCAGCCAGTTAAGTCAAGAACAGCGATCTCAGCCTCTGCAATATGAATCCTTATATTTCAAACATACTGAGTTTATACACCAATCAAACAGACCACACTGTACCATGAAATAGAAAATAACATCTGTAGAAAATTTGACCAAATGTGGCTGTGAATGTGGGAGGCAGTGACTAATAAACAGGGCAAAATACAAGAATGGTAAATCGTATAATAATAGTTCATAGGTCAAAATAAAGTTTATAATAAGAGGAATATGAATATTAATAGCTTAGTTACTTAACAATTATACGATAAAAATATACGTTTAGTATTGGTCCATAAGTGGATCCCAAAGTTACCATTCATTATGTTTATCGGGGCCTAACACCAATAAATTATTTTCATCCTCATATTGTTTCCTTACTCCTTGATCATTACGTAACCTTATCTGATAATAAGAGTTTCGAATCAATTTATGATGCATTCTTTTCAATCCTCCTATAGACAAATCTTTCCCATATATCAATAAATACGAATGTACAGCTTAAGAAAGTGATTTTGCCGAAAAGGAGAAAAATTTTATTAGCTGAATCCTCTTTGTTTTTATATGAAGTTCAAAATAACATTAGATTACCAGTTATCCATATTTTTGTTTTTCTATCTAATCTTGTTATACAACGTTAGTGAAATTCATTTTTTATGAATTTAATATGAGGATAAATAAAACATTCTAATTATGTTATTAATTGAGATCATGAATCGATTGACATTGGACCACCATCAAAAACCTGGAAGCACTGAACGGCTGTTTCGTTCGATTGTAGGACTCCTCAGCAGTGTGCATCCACGATCCTGTTAACGGGATTCAAACCCGTAGCCTTCAGTCTCGCGTGCGAATACTTATTCTACTGGACCGCTAAACCGTCATCCAACGGTGTTTATGTCAACCAATCCACGAAATCGTGCAACCATCTTCCATTGTACTGAGGTAGATATCTGTGTCTACCCGACAAAGATCAACTCCACTGGTGACGTATAACACCAATCGGTACATGATCTCAATTAAAAACTTGATAATCTCCACAACCTCTATACTGATAAGTATGTTATATTGCTATCAACTTACAAAAGCTGGAATTACCATGTTGAGGTGTTTCCAATGTGGACTGACACCAATTCACCATCTAAAAAAGGTAAAAATTAATTACATTAACATTTTTCATTAAAGCACACAAAATAAGCAATAAGTTGTTCTAATAAATAATAAATCAATTTCAAAATATTTTACACAACTTACTGTTTTGAAACGATTGGATTCGACGAATTCAATGAAATCTTTTAGGAGTGTTCTTGTTTCACTAACCATTGAATGTTTGCACTTGAATAAAAACAAACATCATTATAAAACGTAAATAAAATATTCAATATTTTGTTAAATGCTTTTTAATATAATATATTATGTATAAATTAGTTATCACTACCAGTGATTCTCGAACTCCGCCTATCGCCCAAAACTGTCAATCAATATCAAAGTCACAATCTTTAATATGGACGTCAAGACAGTTCTACTGGATGGAGTTGAAAATTGGACATCTACCACAATCATCATCAAAAATGTACATGTATTTATAAACAATTATCTACGAAAGATATTTAATGTCTATTGACCAAACACCATGAACGACAGCCTACTGTGGGAGAGAATAGACCATCTTCTATCCGAAGAGGAAATTAGGAAAAGTTATTGAAAGTGGATAGGACATACATTTCGTAAATCATCAAACGGCATCATGAGGCAAGCGCTAATATGGAATCCTGAAAGGAAACGGATAAGTGTAAGGCTAAAGTACACACTGCGTCTAGAATAGGAAGCAGACATGAAAATGATGTATAACAACTGGAAAGAACTGGAAACGTTTGTCCAGGACAGAGATAGATGGAGAATGCTGGTGATTGACCTTCGCTCCTCCACAAGGAATAATGGGAATAATTAAGTAGTCAGTCGTTCTGCACAACATGAACGTTTAAAAGAGAATTCTACTACAACGGGTTTTTCTTCACATCTGTAGATAAATATGTAACTGATATTGTAAGAAACTTCATTCAATAATTCATTACATAATGAAACATTAGATTGTAAACTTATTAACCCTATTGTTTAATGTATGAATCAAACAAGGTTTATCTTTATTTAAATACAAATGAAAACAAAATTGACGCTAAATTAACTTTTCAGTTTGAATAGTTTGAATAACTGTTAGAGCACAATAATATGAATTCATTTTATTTTGTCATTTCTGTTTAGCTGCTTATAAGCGTATTGTATAATAATAGATAGTTGACATTATTACTTCACTACTATTCATGTTATCCGTTGTCATCTTCAATCGTAGGTATGTACGTGTGGTTTATTCATGTATTTTTTTAACACCTTTAATACTGGTAACCATTGTCATTCTAGTATTCTGTTATGTAATATGATGTTATACAAACACATTTGTACGTAAGAAAAAAACAACGAAGAAACCATGAAATCAAATCAAATCGTTTCATTCTAATTCAATTGTTGTTCTGATTATAGTGAAATTCATAAAACGAATTAACGGTACGTACATCAATAATTGATAATGCTGTTTGTAGTTATTTATCCATTAGAAACATAAATTTGACCAGTGACCAAAGTAAATATTGTTTTAGTAAGTATTACCTATTGTGTTGTTTGTTTACGAAATAGTTTGAGTTTTTGATTGAGATCATGAATCGATTGATGTTAGACCACGATTGAAAACCTGGAAGCACTGGACTTCCGTTTTGTCCCATTGAGGGACTCTTCAGCAGCGCGCATCCGTGTCGGTTGAGGACAGGTACCTACACCAGTACAACGGAAGATGGTCGCTCAGTTTCGTGGATTGGTCGAGGTTAGACATTAGCACCATTGGGTGCCGGCACAGTGGTCCAGTAGGTTAAGCGTTCACACACGACACTGAAGGCCGTGAGTTCGAATCCCGCTAGCGGTTTGCACGCTGCTGAGGAGTCCCACAATCGGACGAAACAGCCGTTCAATGCTTCCAGGTTTTTGATGGTGGTCCAATATCAATCGATTCATGATCTCAATCAAAAACTTAATAATCTCGAGAACCCGTATATAGATAGTTTGAGTTTTAATAAAATCAATTACGAACTTGAATATTCTTTGATTCATTTGATCTAGATTAATATATGTGCTGCTGGATTTAATAAATAAAAAGCAGATATTTAAAATTGGATCCAATTTTAAGGAAGAATGAATTCAAATTCTTGGAAATTAATGAACACATATTCTATGATTCAGTTACATCACTTACAAATAACTTGAATTATAATAAATATGAAAATAATTTAGCGTAATTCATATCATAAACAATCTTGTATTATACAAAGATGCATAGTGGCTATTAGTGGAATTCAGGAAGCGCGTTTCTTCCCATTTGGGACTCGTCAGTCGTACATACTTGCATCCCATAGGTGATGTTCACTCTGAAACTCGAACCTGGTACCGTCGGCTTCAAACGCCATCGCGTTATTCACTTAGCTACTGTGTCCTGATAGCCACCTGCTTTTGAAATGGGGGGTGAAGTTTACATTCACTTGGTGTTGTTTTACTTGTATTTTCCACTGTTAGTCATTATCTATCTTTGCTTAGAAAGCTTGTGACTTAAGGCTATATCGATGCAATCTGCACAGGATGCACATATGTCAACATGAAATTGATTAATTGCAGTCCTGTGTAACAATGGTAAGATACAAGTAAAACAACACCAAGTGAATTTATTCTTGTATCAAGTTAAAAGTCGGAATTCACTTGTTTGTCTACGAGTTTGAGCAACCAAAATTAGATATATAATTTAAAACTGGTATATATTACTTGGTAAAACAGAGTAGGTACTGAATAGTCGGTATTAGAAAAAGTAAAAGCTAAAAGTATCATATTTTGGACACTATAGTAGCGAATTTATTTCAGTAAGTAAACAGAAAGAAGTAAGAAACTAGAGGTAAATAAGACGTAAATATGGGATTACACTTTTTACATCCTCAAAACGAATATTATATCAGAGTTTTAAAAAAATAAACTTTTGGACACATTGTGCAAAGTGACATTTGACTTATTTCATGAACTAATCTAATATAAGTCACAACCAAAATCTTAGAAGCTCTGTACAGCCGTTTCATCTCAGTATATGGTTTACTATTCTCAAGTTATTCCTAATCCCGTAGTCACAGTTTCTCACAATCATGGCCACTTTTGTCTCGAACTTATCCAAATATTATTTTCTATTTTATGGTGTGATGTGGTCTAATTTGTATTTATATAAACCTAGTTTGTCTGAAATATATGTTTCGTGTCATGGAGGTCAAGATGGGCATTCCGAACTTAACAGGCAAGTTAAGTCGGAAAAAGGATCAACCAGAATTCCAGACTGCTGGTACTGGTGTATGCGTCATTAATTTATTCTTATAAGTAAGCGTACCAGAATTTGCCAATCGTATTTCGCGATATTCGTGAAATAACACGATCAGTTCGTGACTTCAAGGAAATCCAACACTCTTCACATCCTTTTACCGATAACATCTATTCTGTTGTATCTACTGATAGTTCTCGGTTAACTAAACTAAAGTAAATGAAATAACATTCAAACATGGGGTCTGTCGGTTGATAAACAAATTTTTTGATCAATATTCAGCTACATCGAAGCAGTGTACTTAATATGTTGACTGTAGTTCGTGTATATTATAATGTTCTATAAATATTCAGATATATCTAACTAACAAAGGTAGATAGTGGCTAGCAGTGGAATCCACGACGTGCGTTTCGCCCTATGTTTGACTCGTCAGTTGGATGTACCTGCATCTCAGAGTTGATGTTCACTCCGAGACTCGAACCGAGGAACATTCGCTTCAAACACCATCGCGTTATCCACTCAGCTACTGAGTCCTGATAACCACTTGCTTCTAAAATGTGGTGAAGTTAAAATCACTTGATATTGTTTTGCTTGTATCTTTCTATTGAGTTTTAAGACTGAAATTGATCAGTCTGTTATTAGCATATGTGCAATATCAAGGAAATACACACTGTAAACCTTATTGTTCTCATTAATTTTATCAACTGATTACAAGTATACCAATGTTTCTTCAATCGATAATGGAAAAAAATCAAATCAAATCATTGACATACCTGAAGTTTTTTATTCATATCATTTATATTTTCACATGTTATTGACAATATATATTCAATGATATTCCTGGTGAATTGTTCTCCTTTCATAATTTGTAAACTTTTCTCTTGTGCCAATTCCAATAGGTTGCACGCTATAAAGTTGTAGATATATATAAAACAGTTTTTTGTTTGTATAAAAGTTAAGTAAGCAGTTCACTAATATAACTAGGGATTAAATACTTTAATGTTTCTAACTAAAATAATGGAAAATGTAGCTTTGTATTTGACTTCTATAGATTCAGTCATAATAAAGTATTTCATGTTCACTATTAGTGACAATTGTATATTATCAATGATAGTTTGTCAGTACCTTTAAAAAGTTGATTGATAATGTGCAAATTCTGAAATATTACTTATTCTTAGTTTATTATAAACTGAAGTGAATTTTTTTCTCGTCAGCTTTGATGTTCAAGAATAAATTGAGCAGCTGTCTGGTTAGAAAAAAACAAATATTCCAATCCCATATTAACCATGCTATAGTTAGCGATTATGGTGACTGATAAACTATATTGATGTTGAATAGGTCGGTGATTTTGATAACCTAGAACCCACGTACACTAAACCAACGAAAATGATATATGCTGAGTGTGAATCACAGTTTGAATAACTCAGATTTAAATATATTCCACCTACAAAGTAACCACTGCCTTGGATTTAATATCACATCCCTAATTACAATATTTTAAAAACTTCAGTGACATTTCTAGGCTGCATAGACATTAAATGAAAAAAGAGTTTTAACATATGTTAAGAATTTACTTAACTCTATTCGATTAGAATAGTTTGTCAAAGATAAACCTTAAACTTAATATTATCTACAACATTAAGTGCTCTTATTTAGTATTTTTACTTCAAATTTATTTCCATACTTCTACTACGACTGTTTACAATGAAATAATCGGGGTGTTTTTTTAATGATAAACTATGAATTATGAATGACCTATAGAACTCCATAATGCACATTTATCCAAATTGAAAAACATTAAAACGTTGTGCATTAAATCAAAATTTGAATAATTTTATGAAAGTTTGTTGGTATGCTTGTTAATGCATATGCAAAATACTTCGGATTCGTTGGCCAGATACTATCATCAACAATATACTATGGGAGAGAACAAATCAGATCCCAGTGGACGAAGAAATCAGGAAAAAGCCCTAGAAGTGGATAGGACACACATTGAGGAAAGCACCCAACTAAATCACAAGACAAGCCCTCACAAGGAATCTTCAAGGCCAAAGGAGAAGGGAAAGATCAAAGAACACATTAAACCGAGAAATGTAGACAAAAATGAGAAGAATTAACAACAATTGGATAGAAATAGAAAGGAAGGCCCAGGATAAAATGGGTTGGAGAATGCTTGTCGGCGGCCTATGCTCCATTGAGAGTAACAGGCGTAAGTAGGTAAGTAATTCGTTAATATTTACTTTTCTACTATACCTGCATAAAACATAGTGTGATGAAATGTACTATCTTCGTCATTTTAGAAAGTGTTCTCAAAATATATTATTATGTCTAGCTTTCTAGTTACGTAATATAAGTTCATATAAGAATCTTTATAAAACATCTTCACTTCTATTGAAGAAAATCATTATGGTTGAATAGGGTATACAAATTTACATTTAATTTACAGTCAATTAAAAATTTTTGTATAAATAAAAACGATAACAATAGTAGTTCAACATTTAATTAACCAACTTACCTACATCTTTATAACCAACATTCAACTAAATTGAATATATAAGTAAAAAATATTAATATCAGAAGGGGTTTTGTGGATATTATAGTAATTTTAATGGTTGAAACCATGAGTCAATTGAAGCTAGACCGCCATGGAAAACCTGGAAGCACTGGGGTTCGAATCTCATCGGTGGGCGCACTGCTGAGGAGTCCCACAATAGGACGAAACGGCCGTCCAGTACTTCCAGGTTTTTCATGATGGTCTAGTTTCAACTGACTCATGATCTCAACTATTGAAAAAAATAATAATTAAGTATTTAGTGAAAAGGATCTTATAGAATCATTGAGTAATTTCCAAAAAAACAAAATGCATATCGTATTACATTAGAATTGTAAATTCGGTTTACAATATAGATTATGTAATTAAATAGTCTTGAAATACTGGAACCCGGTAAATTTCTGTTGAATGAAGTTATATGGTTTAATAATTTATATTACTTTGTAATACAATTACAGAAGATTGTAATATAAAGAATGTTTTATCATTTATTTAATGAACTCATTGCATTATTAGGATTATTTATTGTACCTACCTACAATCAATGAATAGTATAACAAATTCATTGTTTTAATATTTTTGTTGTTAAGACAGATTAATTCAGAAAAGAGTTCTCTTTTCGATGAATTCATTTTCAAGGCTATACAATCGCAAATATATATACATATTAACAGAATGTGGGTGGAACTAGAAAAGAAGGCCCAGGACAGAGTGGGTTGGAGAATGCTGGTCGGCGGCCTATGCTCCATTAGGACTAACAGGCGTAAGTAAGTAATTAACAGAATGATTATAATACTGGTAATTAACTGTTGTTGGACAAGTTGACATGAGGTTAAACAAACAAAATAATCAAAAACATTCTTTTAAAAACAAGGACAGTTTAATAATCGTTTTTGATTATTACTAGCTTAAGTATTGTTGATTAATTGAATTAAAATAATAATGAAGTCTATCAGTAACATTATTGATTTTAATATGATTATGTAAGTTATTATCAACAGTATTAGTTTCAGAAATTTAACATTCAATAACATTACCTCAGATTGCTTGATTGAAGTAACTAGACCTAGTATAGATTATTATTATTATTATTATTATTATTATAAGTAGTATATACTTGACTTACCTGTTGTAAAAAAGGTTAATATGAAAAAACTTAACATTCTTGTTAGTATTTGATCTCGAATAAATTTAAAGTAAGATTATTATGAGTGAATCACTTTAAATATTATTCTTATTTATTTTTTTTATTTTTTTATTTTATTAACGATCAAGTAGTTTAGATCAAATTTTAAATTATTAAACTGGAACAAGGGTCATTTGAAGGGTACTTTACCTTCAATAATAATGGACTTTATATATATATAATGATAATAATACTAAATTGGGCCTATGATTCTAAACAATCGTTTATTGTATACTAAATCAAACGAGTATAATCATTTTAAAAGTGTAAAACGGTTGTTTTGTTCTAAGTGTTACTAACCTTTGAGACTGCAGATTCGATAGAAAAGAAAACAACAACAAAACATCATGTGAAGTGATGGTAATTAGTAATGAGTTTGTTTTTGTAAAAAAAAAGATTACTGAATAATGAAAAAATGTCTTTGAGTATATTATTGAACAATGTGAAATATGTCAGCGATTAAATTGTAAAGATAAAAGAGAATTGTTTAAAGATCCTCAACATATTAAAAGAATAATAATTTGAACGATCGTCAACATCATCGAGAATTTATACGATGGATTAAAGTATAAAGTAGTGCATAGCGACTAGCCTACAGATTTATTCCTAGTAAAGAGCGAAGTCAGAAAATTCTGCCTACTCTTTACCTTCTTCTTAATCTTTCTTCTGACGATCGACTGGATTAAAAAGATCACTACATCTGTGGGGAAACGCGTGATACAATGGATAGCTCGGAATGAATCAGAAGAATTGGGCTTGTCAGATGACCTGGTCTTTCTATCTCATACACACGAACAAATCCATATGAAGACAACTAGTGAAACAGAAGCGGTTACATCAGTAGGCCTCAACATACACAAAGAAAAAATCAAGATCATCAAATACAACATGTAGAAAACCAACCGAATCACATTTGATGGAGAAACTCTGGAAGAGGTGGAATCTTTCACGTACCTGAGCGGCAGCATCGATGAACAAGAAGGGTCTGATGCAGTCGTACAGCTGAGGATTGCCAAAGAAAGGACAGAACTCCTACAATCGAAAGACATATGGAGCTCAAAACAACTGTTAACCAATATCAAAGTCAGAATCTTCAATACGAACGTCAACACAAATCTACTGTATGAAGCTGAAATGTGGCGAGCTACCACAACAATCATCAAGAAGGTACAAGTATTTATAATCAAGATACTGAATGTCGCTTGATCACATACCATAAGCAACAGTCTACTGTGAGAGACACCAAATCAGCTTCCGTCTGAAGAGGAAGTTAATAGAAGAAGTCGAAAGTGGATAAGATCAAAGAGAAAGAATGTATTTGTAAAATTTCAGTGAATAAATTTGAAGTTAACCTACTTTTTCGCCTGTCAGTCTGGTTCAAGCTGAGATTTTGCAAAATAGATTCTTCCTTATTAATGTCTCACATTAACTCGGAGCCCAAATGCAGTAAAACTATTCAATCAAATTTAGACGAAATTTCTTATATATTAATATACTGTTTTATGTTTTATCAAAAAATCAGAAGAATAGAACTTGTTTTATTTAACTGAAAGCGAATGAATGACGTTATCTGTTCATTCTTTTTTTAAATATTGATCTGACTATGTCAACTTCTGTTCGTAAACAGAGGTGAACTTACTCAAACTTATTAATAAATCAAGTTCCGCTATTACTTAGTTAAAAATATGTATCGTGATCATTGTAAAAAGGGAAATAATAAAGAGCTCAGTAGTATTTATATTATAAGTCAAGAGAATTCATATTTCTAACTTTATTATATATGAAGATCTTCAGTAAGAGTTGATTGTACTTATTATGTTAACCATTAGAATAATGTCTTAGTATCTGAGAATGCAATTATATTTCCTGGTCGTTAGAGGAACTAACACTGTGGTGTGTGGTATTGATGTCGACAGATATAAGTAGTATGTATCATCAATCGAATTTAAAATGTCTGGTGGCAGGAAGTTAAGAAGATCAAAGAAAAGAAAACGAGAACAAAGAATGATTGATGTGGAAACGAAAGAACAATGAAGACTGAGACGATTGTTTGAGATTTCGCAGAAGGAACAATCAAATTTGAGACAATTGACTGACATTTTGCAAATTAAGTATTTAATGTATGG